TTGATTAATTTGTAAATATTAATTGTGCCTATATATTTTACATGTTAATAATTAAATTCTAAAAAAACAAAATTCATTAGAATTTGACAGTGCATTGATTTCAGTAGACTAAAAGGTATTCAGTGCACTTTGAAAGGAAGAATGACAGTTTCTAGAGCATCCCTTTAGAATATAAATGAATTTTTACTCAGCCTATTAAAGATATAAATTTTCAACATGTTAAAAGTTGATGAAATTTAACACAGTGCCTGAACAGAGATTGCCAATAACTGCTGTTTTTCCTTAAATTAACTACTGAAACTGTCGAAGTTGATATGAATGATATAGAAAATACATACACGTAAATAATTAGTAAATCACTGATTATTGTTAAGGTACAACAATGATGGAAACAACTGATACAGTTACGAAATGTACAGATGCAGTACGATAGCTTCCCCGCAAAGCAGGATTAGGGTTGCCAGAAAATGGTGAGGGAAGGCAGGGTTGCCACATTTGGTGAGAAATCGCCCTTTTGGCAACATGCCATAGACGGATGGAGAACCTTCTGAAATAAATTCTTACTGGTTTAGCCCAGAACGTTCTCAAACACCGTCTAGTGGTACAGAGTTGGTCATCGAGTGTATCAAGAGAGTCTCTTAAAGTATTGTGAGTGGGAATAATTAAACTGAGGAGTCGGGAGCTGTACTCTAGTGTATCATTGAGTGGATCGCGAGTTGTAGCATGGAGAGTCTCAAGAGTACGTAGAGTTCCAAGAACGGCTGAGGAGAGTCGGGAGCTGTACTCCGGGTGCTTTGCCGTGAAGCTGTCTCCACCATTATAGCCTGGAGGCTGTGTCGCTGATTGTTTCAGTATGATTATAATAGTTCTTTGACGAATGTAAATGTGTTATTGGAGCTGACTTGAGTAATACTGACCAATAAAGTGAGTTTCCATTCTTCATCAAGTGCTGTTGTCGTTATTCACTCCAAAGCCACGAAACCGTAAGTGAAGAGAAAAAAACGCAACACTACACTGAAAAGGAAATATGGGTACATAAGGGCTGCCGTTGCATAAGTAAATGGACAAATTGAAACTGATTTATTAAAAACAGAAGTGAATGCAGAAGAAACAGAAATTTCCTTAGAACTCTTATGTAAAAAATCAAATTAATGAAAACAAATAAATGGCAACGTGGAAAAATTAATACGAAAAAAGGATCTAGAGCAGGAATTAAAATGGCTTAAGGATTATCATGGAAAAATAACTACATTTAAATACAAAGTTAACAAAAAACTGAATGAAATTAATACAGAACAACAACCGTGTTAAAAAACACTTAACAAATATGTGAAAATATAGAAAACACTAAAATTAAAAATCAAAATGTAAAGCTTCTTAAAGCTTACTGTTCCAAAGTTTCTTATAAAATTAGATGGCTTTGATCTAACCCAAGAAAATATGAAACCTCGGTAAAATTTCTTGCAGAAAGATTTGGAAATGAAGATGTATTGATAAATGTACATATAGATAAATTACTGAAAATAAGACCTTTATAGGATTCTAATGCCATTCAAAACTTCCATAAGTTATTCATTTATATACAGAAACATAGTCAACATCTTGAATCATTAAATATAGCCTCAAAAACATACGGAGCTTTATTAACACCTATATTACTTAAAATATTTCCTGCAGATTCAGTTCTAGAATATAACAAAACAGTTCAAAAATCAAATTATGATCTGAATCATACAGTGTGAAATTTCTTTCTCAACAACAGACTGCATGGGAACATACATTCTTGATGCTATGTCTGCAGCCAAAGATTGCTACAGTGCCAGAAAGACACAACAAACTGATTGAAACCAGACATCTTACGAAGCACACAGCCATAGAAGTAAAGAATATGAGTTTGCTGGGTGGGGGACTCCATATATTTTCTATGACTCTTCTGATCACAAGTCTATAGTGTGTAATCAAGTATCTTTGTGGACCATTCAGCAAAAAAGAGACAAATGCAAAATGAAAGGAATATGTTATTGCTGTCTGTAGCCACAACACCTCAGCATTAATTTTATTTCTAGAAGAAGATGTGAATTATATAAACAAAGACATGCTACCATAATGTGTGTTTTAAAAAGGAAAAGGATGAATTTACAAAATAAAATTTAAAATAAAGCTTGAAATAATAATTCATTTTATGAAGATGCAATCTTTAATTATCAATGTTAACAGAAACAGCGAAAACAATTTTATATGAAAAATTCTAGATAGCAGAAGTAGGAGATCATACACAAGTGTATTCCCAGTGATGTAATAATTAATGAAAATTCTTGTTTATTTGAAGGGAAAAAAAAAAAAAAACTTACTGAAATAGACATGCCTGTAGGAGCAGATTATACTGGGAAGACTTTACAGGGAAAATAAAACACATATTGCAGAGTTTAGTAGCAATGACTACACACCTTGGCTTGACAGTATTAAGAACAAGGGTAAAGAAAATAATTTTAAAGAACTTTCGTTTATCCCTACAAATTAGTGAAAGAAAAATTTGTGACTTTGTGAGTCTGGTCATGGTCTCGAGTCTATCGGAATAGCTGAACCAGTTCTTTCCGAAACAAAACAAGAAATAGAACAAGCTACGTAAAATTATGTTATCCATACTTTAGAAAGAGACGACGCGGGAAGGTATCAGGTGTGACTTCCATGGCTTGAATTTCATCCCGAGTTACCAGATAATAGAATCTTTGTGGGGAAAAGGATCCAAAGTCTTCAGAGAGAAATCTTCAGACCAAGAATTTCTTAGAAGCCTATCTTAGGTTAGGTTATTTAATTATGGCAAAGCCTCGAGGGCTATCTGCCTAAGGGGAGGGATGCCTTCATGGAGGACTTTCTAAGGGGAAACTGGCTCGTATACATGTTACACATGGGGAAAACCATGCAGCCAGCCCGTTCACAGGATTCGAACCTCGGATCGAACTACCAGTGTTCAGCGACTTTACTGCTCGGCTTATTAGGTGGGCCCTCTTAGAAGCCTATGAAACTGTTTTAAATGATTGCTTTAGAAGAGGGAATTATTGAACCTGTCGATATTTTAGAAACAGAAAATGGCATTATCTGCTGCACTGAGCAGTTTTTAGGGAGAATTTGACTAAGTGACAATGCAAAGGAGAAAAATTCAGTTACCCTGAATGACTGCCTGTAAAGAGGTCCAAAATCTTGAATTATTAACAAATTTTTGACAAACTTTCGAAAAGGAAAGTATGTGGCAATTCCTGACATAAGAACAGCTTTTTTGCATAACAGGTTTGAACTGAGCAGACAGAGATTTTCTCCAGTTCCTAAGGTGGGAGAAAGGACATTCTAGAAAACTGATTATATATCGGCACAGAAAGGTTGTATTCATGGTAAACACCAGCCCCTTTTTACTCACTGCCACGAATAACAACAATTTGGAAAATCCACTGGAACAGCATCAGAAAATAGCTTCAAAGTTAAAGAAAGCCATGTGTAGTGAGCATGGAGTCAATTGAAGAACTGAACTTCATTTATTGAGAGATCGAGAAAAATAATGGCTACTGAAAAATTTGACTTGAGAAGTTGAAAACAACAGACTTGATAATGAAAGTTCAATTCTAAAATTTTCTGATGAAGATTATACAAAAACTGTGTTGGTATTGGGATTGAAATGGGACTTGTCTAAGGATACTTAGTATTGCCACATAAAAGATGATGAAAATCCTGTAAGGAGCAAAAGATCCGTTCTTCCCGAATTGAGTAAAATCTTTGACCCAACTGAGTTTACTTGTCCAGTTACACTTATACTTAAACTGATCCTGCAGGAATGGTGGAAACAGAACTTAACTGGGATACGAATCTGCCAAATGATCTAGCAAAGAAATATTTTACATGGCCATCTCAGTTAAAATATTTGAACGACATCAAAAGTCGTAGACAACTCCTCAAAACAGATGCTAGTACCACTGTGCATGTAGTTTTGGATGAAAGCAAGAATGCCTGTGCAACCTGCATTTTCCTTAGACACAGCGGTAAGGGTAGTGTCACTTGTCAATTGATACAGTCCAGAGTTAGAGCTGCTGCCCTAAAACTTGTAACCATACCTCGACTAGAGATACTCACTTGCACTATTGGTGCCAGGCTTTCTTATACAGTAAGAGAAGACTTAAACTACAAAAGAAGTTCCAGCTTTTTACTAGACAGAGATCACAAATGCCCTCTTTTGGATAAGGCAGAAAGAAAATTGATCCACTTTTGAAGCCAGTCGACTGAATGAAATTCGTAAATTCAGTAATCCAGATCACAGGCACCAGATTCATGGAAAGTTCAACCCTATGGATTTGCCATCCTACGGTTGCTCTGTTAAGTAATTGAGAAATCCGAATGGTAGAAAGGACCAGATTGGAACTATCGACTTCGAAGATGGGTGGCCCATTTCCGATGGACAACATCCTGACTTACATGTAAGAGAGAAAACGGACTGTGGTTTCTATGAGCAGTAACACAAATACAGGTAAATTTAATCTTTTGGGCAAAATTTCAAATTTTGAAAAGATCATAAAAATCATGAGCTGAAACAATGATTTTCCGACAGATCCAACATGAATCTTTTGATGGATTTTGATAAAAAAACACCATAAGCTATTAACATATCACTTATTTTAATGAAACTTTCATGTTCTTTAATTATATATATTACTAGCATGCCTAAATCATTTTGCTGCATTCAAAAGATAACTACTCATTAAAATTGCAGATTCAAACATTATCCCCTCCCCAAAAAAAACACCTCTTAATAACAAGGCTGTATGATACCGGATGAGAAATCATAACTTACAACACAAACAATATCTTCTTTCTTTTTTCCTTCCTGATTCAACAATTGAAAAATTCATTTTCCCTTCAGTAAAAAGAAAGAGTTGTTTTATACAACTAAACACAAAGCCTACATAATACAACAGAAATGGAAATAACGGTCAATAAGTTTTAAATTTACAAACCCTGTTTTGTATCTCCCACTAGATGACACAGGTGTCCATTCTGTTGCATAGGATGACGTACAAGAAATTTCAGTTGATGCAGCAGCAGCCGAAGCATTAGTCTTCTGTTGTTTAATGGTATTTGCACTACTTTCTAACATTATTTTCTTCTTTTTATCTAGATGTTCAAAGCTACATTTTGGAAGTGATGCTATTTTTTCCTCTAGATTAAATAAACTGCAAGTGAAATGAATTCCTAATATCAAAATAATGAAATCAAATGTGTCTACTTACACCTGAAACATCAGATTTTAATAGATAAGAGAGAAGAAATATACTATTTTAAATATAAATTTTTATTACACTATTTTAAACACCTAAAAGAGACTACATAAAAACAAACATAAAAAAAAGTTTAATGAATTTACAGATTTCCATTTTTACGTACAAAACCTTGATACATCCAGTGTTTGAAAAATGTGCAGTAAATGCCTTCAAACATATATTAATTTTAATATACTGCAATCATATTTTTGCTCACTTTCCATTATCATTATTAAAACTTAAAAAAAAAAAAAAAAAACATAAAATTAAATTTAAACTAATCAAGCTTTAACAGTTTATCTGACAAGCCCATTAACTAAGAGTAAAATGTCACAGCAACATAACTTACAGAATCTGTGAAAATACAAAAATAATCTAAAATTTCTATGCATATGAATGTTTTCTTGCTCGGATATATCTGCAGAATACTTCCTGGAGCTAGTAAAAATATTGAATGAGAAAAATTATAAAAATAAAACAATTGATGAGCATGTAGATGCTTTGGATTTTTAATAGAAAAATATACTGAAAGATTTTTAGATTTTGATGAGCACACTTGCTATGAAACTGGCATTTGAACTACATTTAGTAGATATTCTTGAAAGCTCTTATGGAACTGCAAATGTAATTATTTGATAGTATCCTCAAATCACTTTTTGATATTAAAAAGGATCCCATAGAAATCTGGAAAAATGCTGTTGAACATCCATGCCTATGACAGCATGCACATCATTTACTTTCCCGCTTTGGAAGTACTTACTACTGCGAGTCAACATTTTCTCATGACAAATATTAAAACTAGTTTGCGAATGCAAATTACAGATGCTCATTTAGAGGATCCACTAAGCTTGATCTAAATATTCAATTACTTTCAGGCAAGAGAAAAATGCAAACATCCCAATAAATGAAATTTTCCATCGAATTTTAGCATTATCTTACATACTGTTGCTTTGTTGGTTTTTATAACTTAATATTATCACTTTTCCATTGTTTTTCTTTATAATGTAATAAATTTATTGTAAAATACTTCTACTTCATTATTTTGATTTGAAACAGTATTTAAATATAATATGTAGTTGTTTATGAAAAATTACTAAAGATTAATGTTATAATAAGTTATTAGCCTTATGTGAATACACAGATATTTTATAGTGTAAATTTAAATGTGGTCTCTCATGGTAAAAAGTTCCCCCACCTTACTATACTATATGCCACAACCATAGCCATGGATTGTACATCCAAGCTGCTTCAAGTGGCATTTGGGCCTAAATTTACATGGGAGCGAACCAAGGCTGAAACAATAATACTAAATGTCGCCATGCCTTACACTTTAACAGCTTTGCAAAATGATTTGGAAAAATGTTCATTGCTTCAGTCTTAACTGATGTGTCCAGGCATAAGGAAACAAAACTTTTTCCAGTACTTATTACATTTATAGACTTGAGTTATGGACTTAAAGTGAAAATTTTAGAATTAAAATCCTTACCTGGTGAAACATCCAATATTGTCAGTAACTATTTAACTACCTGTCAAAGTAAATAATTTGAAAGAAAATGCTATTGGCCTTTGTGCCTATTAGTACGAATTCTAAATTTGGAGGAGCTAACAGATTAGGAGAAATTAATGTTTTTGTTAAACTGAAACTAAACCTTAACTATAGTTTAATTGGAGTCAGATGTGCACAGCATATTATCCATAAAACTAAAAGAACATGAACTGAGGTTTTGCTAAATGATATAAAAATGGTTACTTCTTAGATATACTTTAAATCTTATAATGTTAGAGTAGAAACATTGAAAAATTTCTGCTACTCCATAGAAATCGATTTTTCAGTGATACAAGGGTATTCACAAACAAGATTTAAAGGGTACTCCAAATGTTTTTACACTGAAAGCTTATTTTCAGTCTCAAGAAAAGGGTCCCATGCTTATTCTAAAATTCTTTGAAAATCCAGTGGCAGAAGCTTGGCTACATTTTATTAATACTCAGGCTTCAATATTTCATAAAGTTATTACAACAATTGAAAATCAAACTGCAACTGTATTAGATGTAATTGCTACAACAGATGCTCTGAAAGCTTCAATATTGAGCAAGCTAACTTTATTCCAGTAAATTAAAAATCTCTAGGAATTACAACGCTAGAAAAACTCTTAAGAAAATGAGACATGTCACAATTCGAAGTTATTGAATTTCAAGATCTTTTTCATTTTATCAGACTGCTCTTACTTGGAGAAATGGACAAAAAAAAGAATTTCAAAATGGAAATGTACAGCCGGATCACATTAAATGAAATCCCTTCTTGGAGTCAAGTTGAAACAGACTTTTGGCTTAATAAAATAATGCCAAATCATAAGTTATTGGGAATTGATATATATCAGGAATATGTTTACCTTAAACAATATATCACAGAAGA